GCAGTGAATGATAAGCTTGTGTCTATTCACAAATCCTAACATCATGTGCAGACGTCTGGCATCTCAACGCTCGAGACTGTTTCAGACCTTCCGTTTCTGCATGGTCATAGTGATTCTTTTGCCAAAAGAGGACTAAATATGGTAACCCCCATACAGCAAGGGTGCAAACTGGATTATCTGAAAATGAAAGGAAACAGGAAGTAACAGTTCATTTTTTTCCAGAGGAGACAGTGCCAGCAGCACCATGTGGGCATGCACGGATACCCCTATCCGTTTTATCAGTTTGGCAATGATAACCATTGTACAACACCGCAACATTGTGTACAGATACTATATGATATATGCCAAGTTAGTTACTTTTGAAACAAAATATCAAGAAATACTACTTATGGATTAAAACAAACAGTTGATCTAAATTCACTGCAGAAAAATAAATCATCTTCATGTCTTACACTCTCTACTACACTTCATCACAAAGGATTTGCTCATTACTATTCGCTAATAGCATTTGTTTAGTGATTAAGACTATCATCTATTTCTAGTGTGTAAGAGGATTGTGCGATGGTCGTTTAGAGATCCTGTTTATGCTTCATCCAGACACAGTAGCAGCTGCTTGGAGTCTGGCATTTGAACACGTGCTAAATGAGTGATCTTAATTTCTGCCTGGTCATTGGTGGGAGAGCTCTGAGTTCCGTTTACAGGACAGCTGGTGTGTTTCAATGGCGATTACGTAAATCTAGCTCATATAGGGATTAACGCAATCTCAGCATAGCTACGTGGGATCAAACTGTGAAATTTGCTCCGTAAGAGGTTACATGATGCTGTAAATATGAGCCAAAAGACAAAAGAGAAAAAATATTTTTATATCAAATTATAGAAAGAGCCATGCAAAGTAGAATGGTCCATTATTTTCTTAACTAGAGTTTAATTCTGCCAACACCTGTTTAACTACAAGTCCCAAATATATAAGAAGAGTTCTCAATTTTAATCCCCCCCCCCCCAAAACTAGAAACTGATATATAATAAAATGAATTTGATACATAAAGTGATACATTGGTAGCAAGTGGTCTTAGATTTAGACAAATAAAAATGTCCCATCCAATTCTTCTTGATGATACTGGGCAGCACATCCAACACGGTTTACTGGCCATGGCAAAGTGTCTGAATTTTTTACTGCATTTAAATGTTTCTTCATAACTCCAAGCCTTCTGCTGTCACATGAGATGGCTTTGTTTGTGGGTCCACTCAGCCCACCTTGAGGTTTAATAAATACATTATTACACTACATCCATATAACTAGTATGCGTCTGTTTTAACAAGCTTAGATCATGTATGGCTAGCATCTGTCTTGTGTGGCTAGTGCAGGCCTACAAAACCTGTGCCCCCCCAGGTATTTTTAACTACAACACCCATAATTCTTTGAATAAAACAAATAGCCAACGTCCATGTTCTTTTATTAAAACCGCTAGCCCAGAAATCATGTCTGATAGCCAGGGGATCATGGGAGTTGTAGTGGGACCACAGGTTGTGCAGACCTGGTCTACTGTGTCATGGGTGGCTAGCATATATGGTGTGGTGCAAGCATAAAATGGATTTCTTTTTACATAGAGTTCCCTCTGCCACAGTGGACAACGCATCCACGACTGTTGGCCAACATTTGACTTGTTAAACAATATACGCATCCACGGCTGTCGACCAACGTTTGACTTGTTAAACAATATAGATTGTGGAAGTATTTTTCCAACTGCAAGTGAGGTTCTACATAGTGTCTATCCACTGTTTTAGCACAAGCATAAAAAATTAAGGATTAATAATAACAATGTGAATAAGGATTAACTGGAATCCAAGGCATCTCATTGAGCAGGGCAATCAACCCCTCTGTTCCTGTGCGTCCACTTGTCTGTTTACAATTACGTCTCTTAGTCCACCCATTGTACAGCGATATGGAATTTGCTGTAACTATATAAATAATAAAATATTAATAATAATAATAATAATAAGTACCAACAGTCAGAATAAAAAATGGCATCTTATAGAACACTGATGCTGTTAACGTTCTTGACTATTATGGGAAATAGAGTCTACAAGCATGTGCCAGAAGTAGGCTTGCAGATTGTTCTTCTGTCGACCGCAGTACTATTGCATTTTGTGTTTGATACGACAGATCAAGCTGTAGAAGTTTACACTGGCGTGCTAAATATTTCCAACATGTCGTCATGCTTTATAAAGCGTACAGGCAGGCCTCATGCGTAATCCAATAGTCTTCATTTAGTCCTGTGAATAGTTGATGACTGAGTTTGGATAATTTTATATAATCCCTTTTGGAATTTTATGGTTCAGCTGTTCCCACTACCAGACATTCTCAACGTGTGTATTAAAAATATAAATTCCATATTTCATCACATTAGGGCTTTACTCATATGACTACTATGAGCAATGTTGGGAATTGTGATCAGGTATTATTTTGATTGGCTGTTTATTTGATTTAATATTTCAGCATTAATTTCTATTCATTATTCTAACATGGATTCAAGAAAAGAACATTCAGTTCATTTAGCGGTGTAAATATCACATGCCATCTAGAATTCTCTAGAGTCGCAAATAAGTATTAAATCCAATGGGCAGAAAAAAATGCATTCAAGTATGGTAGATATATAGTGTAAAGCCAATATACATACGAGATGTTCTGGCATGTCTTATAATCCTGCTTTCTCTAACTTCATTAATGCCTATCACGATCATATTAAAAAGTTATTATTATTGGTATTTATATAGCGCCAACTTATATAGCGCTTTACAATATTATAAAAAGGCGGATATTTAACAATAAATGAGACATTCAAAAAATGAAACGGAAATAACGGGTAGACGAGGAACTTGCCCAAACAAGCTTATAGTCTACTCTAGAGGTATATAAAAAATAAATAAATGCACAAAATGGAGGAGGGCGAGATCAAACGTTCCCTTGCAGGTTCGTTCCCAAGGCTGCCTGCCTGGGGAGGAGCATACAATGTCTGTCTCCAGCGCACATTGCACGCTAACAGACGGATTTTTTGCACAAAGGTGCATACATCTCTGGATGTGCAGCATTTCAAGCAGAAATGTACATATAGAGACACCTAGCACCATCATGAATAAAAGCATAAGTGGTCATGGTGGTTTCATGTATGAAACCGGAATTAATACAGTAAACTGATATATGATTTGCATATTCATCTCAAATTAAAGGGTCGTTCTCCTAAAGCATTTAAACTTACTGAAGTGCTTTATGAGGGAAGAGTGTCCCCTCTTTTTTCATTTTACAAAAATGCAGATTTCAATAGAAATTGGCACTATTATAAATTAGCCTGGTTACAACCACACGCCCAACCCCGACTGTCAGTCATACAAACAGTCCTGTTACTTCCTGTCAGTGGAGTTAAACTCAAGAGGCAGCAATAGCTCAGAGCACCTGCCTTCTAAAGACTTCTCATTGAGCTGTATTGGAAAGTCTGTGATTGGACAGTCACAGAAAGACTGGGCGGGGTTAGAAGAGGAGGGCTTGCAAAGGCTGCAGACAAGAGAACTGCAGCTTTTGCAAGCGGTTTTTAGATATGCCCGCAATAAAAAATATATCTAATTTAATGCATGCAAGTTTTCACTAAACAGTGATTTGTGTCTGTGTATTTGGCAGAGGAGTGTCCCTTTAAATCTAAGTTTATTTTATATTAATACTAGCCACTGTTAATCATGTGTTTCCAGTGTCAGTACCGTGTGCATTAATGTATATATAATATCACATAATATTCCCATTTAACATTTAAATGAGAAGCCTTCTGAAAAATACATGCTGCAGGACTGCATTCAAATTATTGGTCACACACATACTATAATTTTCTTTTTCTAATGCAACCAATGCAACCCTAATCAGTGCATTCCAACCAAAATTAATACATGATTGCCAATGGCAATACAATACTCAGAAGAGCAGTGGTCACGGCTGATGTTGATATGGTAACCAATAAAGCCCAAAATAATGTTTATTTAACAGTTCTTAAACTGTGTTCTTATCTAGAGTGAAGTGATTCATTGTGAAAAATGTACAGTACAAAAAAAAAAAACATTTTGTGCATGAAGACTAGACTTAGAGACGTATTTTCAGAAGTAATTAAATTGTGATTTGTCCAAATGTTCGCAACACAACCGAAATGGCCAGTGGATGAACCGTTTAGTGATTGAGTTAACTATTTGCCTGCTGACAGCCCTATCAGCACAATCTCCTTTGTGATCTCAGGTTCTGTCAGTACTTAGTTACTTATTGAGAAGTTATAATAAACCCCAATTGATTTTATGTGTTGGGTTTCAATCTCCAGCAATCCTAATCAGGTGAATCCCTCTGTTACAATGGCAATTTATTGAATTAGACACAAACTAAAGAACACAATATCTGTTTCAAAAGAAGAGTCACAGCCAATCCCAATTTAGCAGAAAGTTTTGATAAGGGAGTACTATTTCTTTAAAAACCAAAAATAAATAATATATTCTGTTCCCATAAGTATATGATATATGTTTGTCTCATTGCATCAATCACTCTCTTCCATCAATGGGGTTCCTTAACAGATGTCTGAGCTGCTTATAGCTCCCTGTGACTGTGTTTTGGAAATCTGTTATCTGTATGGGTCCTTTGCAATCAGTAAACTCAGATTATATGGCTATAATTACACTATTCATGGTTTATTACCATACCCTCAATGTGAATCTGTAATATCACAATATGTAGTTAGATGGATGTACAAGTTATTACACAATTTTATAAATATATATATTTAAATGTACAATTTTAACATGTTTATTTTTAATATGAATATACATTTGTTGTTTTTTTGTCCCTTTTCCCATGCACTATTGCACAATCAGTAATTGTGCAAAATGTAATTCACGATAATGCAATATTTTATTTATTTAGCAGAGGATTAAACTATACAAAGTAATGTGATACTTGTTCTCTTAGCAACAGGGACCTGACAGCCTATTACAACATAGAATCCTGAGCAATGTGGTTGAAACTTGTCATTCTGTCTGCTTGAAGAATCACACCCTTACATTACATGTGCCTGTCTGGGCTGATCCATTGACTTGTCTCAGCCCATTAAGAAACTCCACTCCTTTCCACATTAGCTAAGGCTCAGTCTCAGGACCTGCACTGACTTTCCCTGCTCAGGTTTTTGTGATTTTTATCTCTGAATGTATCTTTCTGTGTAACTTTTCAGAATGGAAGAAGCTGAATTAATGAAAGAGAGGCTTCTGGCTATAACTGTGAGTATTTCTGTTTGTGCAACAAGGAATATATTTAATGCATGTTTTAAATGTTCCTTTCTATACGCTGTTGTCTCACCTCCTTTAGTTGTGATTACACTCTAGCAAGCAAGAGGCTGATGTGAGAGCAACTTGCTATATAAAGTGTGTTCAAAGCTGAACTTACAATATGTAGATTTCAAGGACATTAGGTCAGTCCTTTGACTTACAATCAGGACTGCAAAAGTAAAAAATACTTGTTACATTTTTCCAATAATTAGCTGGAAAGAGATATTTCATGTTTAAATTTTGTAGCATTAAATGTGTTTTTCCTTATATATTTATAATCAAATCAGAGATTGTTAGATATAGTTTTATATATATTATGTTGCATTATACTTGCAAGTGATATGATTCCATTATGTGATATATTTGCAAGTCCTGTTGATTGTTTTTGCATTATAAGAAAACTGTCACCTGTGTTTTAGTTTGTTTGCTGCCATTGGTAGAGTATAGGAGTTTTTTTTCCCCCTCTGTATTTAACACTTCTCACCCCTAAAGAACATTAGCTTGCTGAAATGCTTTACATGTCAAAATTGTGTCCTTCCTTTACAAAAAGTGCAGAATTAATGACTGTCAATCAGACAACAGGTCCTGTTACTTCATGTTTAGCTCAGTGGAGCTAAAGGCAGCAATTGCCCAGAGCACCTGCCTTGCAAAGAATTTTCAGTGAGCTGCATTTGGGAGTCTGTGATTGGATAGCAACAGAAAGTTTGGAGGGATTAGTAGGGGAGGGTTTAGCTGTTTTAGAGCTACTCCCCATTTTTAAAAATGCATAAGTAAATACATGCACAGTTTCATTAGGGGTATGTATACTAAACAGTGATATTTTGTAACAGGAAAAAAATATATATTTGGGCGGTGGAGTGTCTCATTCCCGACACTCTAACTTAGCATCATGGTATAGCAGTCTAAAAAGAAAAGGATAGAAAAGCCCCAACCCAGTGCTAAAAGGCACTATAATTGAGGCTTAATAAAAGAACAGGCACATAGAAATCTGTGAGCACCAATCACAATTTTACCCACTAGATCACCAGAAGGGGTATAGATCCATCTGGCTCCTTGAGACATGTTAACCTACCTGCCATTATTATTACTATTTTATTATTTATATAGTGCCAGCAAAATTCCATAGCAATCCTTACTATTTTGCAATTAGTATTTACTAATGTAGAATTAGTATAGCATGTCCTGTTTGCGTTAGAAGTTTTAGTGTATGTATATAAAAAGTAAAAGGTTTTACCTGCAGATCACATTGAGTCTATATTAGAACAGATTCTATAAGAATACCTGTGGATTCTCTGGAAGTAGAGCCATCAGGTGCTTATCATCAAAGCTGCGATGACAAATGAGGCTTGTTACCCTGCTAATCCTGGCTAACTTAAGCCTACCACCTTTTTCAGTTTCTAGAAAATGAATTTAAAGAAAAGGTGGAATTTCAAAGCTGCACCTTAACAAATAGTGAGTCTTACTACTACCTTAATATATTTTTTTTAAATACCATTTAGTTAGCAGATTTATTTGAAGCAAACAATTCTGCTATTGCTACCTGAAACCAGTAGGGTGCAGTATGTTTACTTGTCTTATAAACCCATTCATTACCACAAACATATATACTGGTCATTGGTTTCCTTTTTGTATTGCCCCTCTATCTTAACCTTTACCTCTGTACTATTCCTTACTCAAAGGAGAAATCTTTCCACCAGGACTGGGCCTTTTTTGTCCCTTGGCTGCCATGATTCCCTTTACCTTTCACAGGTAAAGACATTGTGTTGGAGCTTGTATTTATTAAATACACATGCTCAGTATTTAGTATGTTGTATTATGGCAAAAAGAATACATTTCTTTTACATTCTGCTGGTATTCTGGGAAACTGCATTCCCAAAAATATCACAACATTACTTACAAATCCTCAAGAGGAGTCATGGCAGTGTGTCTTTGTATACAATTATTTTGAATGCTAATTACATGTTTTGCTCCAATTAATATGATAGTGTTATTTGATTTTAATGTTTACCATGATAAACATACGAGAAATTATAGCACAAATTCTTTCAAAGTTTCAGATACTGATAGATTCTGTAAGGGCTTAATTTACTTGTTCTGATTTTGTGTATTTTGTACTAGAACAACATTGATAAAATGCCCTTATAGAGTAGACAACAATAAGTCTTAGTTTATATATAAAAAAAAAAAAAACCAATTGTGGGTACTTGCCAACCCCACCACCATACTGTCAATTTAATCCATTTAATACGCCTGGCCGTAGCATGAGAAAATCATCTTCCCTAATTTATAGTAAGAACCTAACATTTATATTATTTTTTTGATTATTAAACTGGGGATTCATGATAAATAATACCATTTTAATTATATTGGCTGAGCTGGAAAGATAACAAAATTGGAGAATTTTGAAAACATGTTATTAATTATTTGTTATTACTGATAATTTATATATCCACTCCCTGACTGAAAATATTTACTTTTCTGAATGTGTTAATGCTGAGATGGTTACATTTGTGTACATCTACTTCTGAAACGTAAATGCATTATGAAGCACACGTTTAATGACTCTGGGGAGTTTCAGGCCATTGTATCTTTGCATTCTATCATTCCATTAGACCAGTCACAGACTGGAATAAATGCATCAGCTATTTTTGCGAAACAAGGAGCAGATAACTCCTGCAGAAAAACACTGATCATCCACCAGAGGCAAGATGTGGCCAAGTGTGGTCACTGAACTACTGTGAACCTATGTCTCAATTATGCTCTCATTCCGTATTATATTGCCTTTCTCTGAGGTTTGATAAAGATTACCAAGTAATTGGCCACCCATCTGATAATCAAGATTACCAAGTAATTGGCCACCCATCTGATAATCAGAGGCTTAACACATTCCAAGAATATTGCTGATAGCTACAAATTCTAATGTCATGTCAAATGTGAAAGGTGCTACCGGTAACTGACCCTGAAGAATTGATGAAACGTGATAGCAATTGGTGGCACTTTGACAGTGACAGAACTAATGTAGAGAGGGCACATGTGCAGGAATTTTGGGGTGGTCAAAAGATAGAGCCCAGTCTGTCATACAATACCCTCAATGCTGTGCTTGTTAAGGAGTTACCATTTACCCATCTTTTCAGTGAGTAGTGTAAGCCTTTTTTGTATGGCGTGTGTGTATTGTGCGTGTAGGGGTGCATTTGTGTGTAGTGTTGGCATTGGAATGCAGTTGTGTGTATGTATTGTTGGCACTTGAAAGCAGTGGTGTACTTGAGCGTAGTGTTTTCGTTTGATTGCAGGGATGTGTTTGTGTGTAGTGTTGCCATTTGAATGCTGGTATGTATACACATACACACAGATACACTGACACAAATACACACACTCTGACACGGATACATAAACACACATTAACAAATACACACACTGAATAGTCATAATTTCCATATTTTCAGTCACCCTCCTGTTTCCATACCTTTTGGGTGCAGAGAAGTGTTTTCCCTGGGTTCCAGTGGGATCTTGCTTAAGACTGTAGTAGGCCCTCTTCTTCCTCTCCCCGACATATGTGCCTCCTCTCTCCGTAAGCCGGGAGGAAGTGACCTGAGCTTACTTCCTCCCAGTACTGCTGATGTGACAGGGGCTCGGTCACTGGTCCCCTGATGGAACATGTACTGCCACACCGGCTGCATTGATGATAGTTCCGCTACATCTTTAATAAAATGTCGGTGTTTTATTGAACTGTCACGAGAAGTAAACTTGTTTAGCAATACCCCTAAAGGATAAAAGTGCTTTCAGATTTATATACTATAATGGGACACCACACTCTGTTCACAGAGATGCTTTTGAAGAAGTATTTAAACTGAAAATGTAGAAAATGTAGTTAAGCTATACATGAGGTACAAGTGTTAGTCCTCACTGAAATATTAACCCAACTGGAACAAGTGTAACAGTGTATGAAAAGTATAGTAAATTATTTTAAGCCAGCAGAGTCTGGAAATTGCTTTTGTAACAGTTTATTATTATTTCCAAATTAAAGAATTTTTAGCATAGGCATTATATTTTTATGGGGTATACAAACTGGGCATAACCAGAGACTGACTGTCAGAGACTTACATCCTATTATCCTCAGTCAGAGAAAACTACTTTGAGAAAATGTTAAACCCCACATTCACAAATGTTTGCTATACTCGAAGCAGGGTCCTAATATGAATGTCAATAACAATAGTAAAATATAGAGTGCTTTGAAATGTGATGAGTTTAGCTTTAATGTTTTGCGAATAACCACAGCATTTTAAAATGTCGTTGACGTACTCTTTAAGTAGAATTATTAGTAAAGGGTTGTACGCAGAGGTCAGTTAGCAGGACACATTGTCTCGCTGCAAGCCCTCTGAGTTAGATGTAAGCGTGCAATGGTTATGTTCCTCTCCATGGATCCCGTTTAAAAATGAGAATCCTACTATTGAAACAGCTGGATCAGACTCCGTGCTTCAGATTGAAATAAGCCACAATATGATAATAGTACCTTCACCAAACATTGAATTGTGGTGAATCAAACATCAAATTTCGAATTTATAGGGAAAGTTCTCCAACTCCGTTACAGTCACAGCTTTGCTATATCAGATAGAATTTCACAAAGTTAATTGCACATTAAGTTAGTATTTTTTTATATACACTAATGTTTCTTGCCCCACTGTCCCCCCCGTCCAATTTAAAAAAAAAATAATATATATATAAATAAATAAAAAACTATATATATATGTCATTTATGTTTGAGCATCTTAAATGCTGTAAAGCGTGTAATATCACATTTATATTACAGTTAGAGCAGCAGATGCAGGCAGTGAAGACCCTGGGGCTTCTTTAGTCTCATAATCATCCTCTCACTGTAGCAGGTAATCTGTAACATTAAGACATGGCTCAAAAACTGACTGTGATTTGAGGACTATTTTGTTATTTCAAATGGCAAAAGGGCAGAACAAAGCTTAGTCTTATATTGTAAGATATGGATAAAATCTCGCCGAACATATAAATGATCACTATAGTGTCAGGAAACAAACTTTTTTTCCTGATACTATGTCATCCTTAGGGGACCCTCACCCCCGCCGACTTCAGCTTCCGAGTGGAGCGGTATGCGCATGCGCGGCAAGAGCCGCGCGCGCATTCAAACAGTCTATAGGAAAGCATTTCTCAATGATTTCCTATGGGCATTCTGCACGTTGGATGCAAATTTCACATCCAGCTTTGCAGAAGCGCCTCATGCGGCTGTCAGGAAGACAGCCACTAGAGGTTGGAATAACCCTGCTATGTAAACATAGCAGTTTCTCTGAAACTGCTATGTTTACATGTGAAGGGTTAAAACCGGAGGGACCTGGCACCCAGACCACTTCATTGAGCTGAAATGGTCTGGGGTACTATAGTGTCCCTTTAAGGGGTATGAGTGTTTCGCACTTCATAAGTTCCAATCTGTTCCATAACAGAACTTAATAAGTAGAATTCCACTGAGCTGGGTTCTGCCCCTCCGCTATATAGGTCTGAGATACTCACAGTTTAGATCAGTGAACAGTTCCTTCATAGAATGCACAAAGGTGCCATCACAGTGATGGAGTTGGAATTGAAAAACAAAAGACTGGAAAATCTTTGTCTGGGGTCAATCTCGTACTAAGGCACCAAAACAACCAGTCATCTTTTGAAACCCATCCAGGCCATTTACTGGTTGGGCCTCTGCTGGAGTTCATACGTGGTTCAGGAAATGACTCTGTCTGCTAGAGAACACAGGTGTCAACGCACAATGCTGAGGGGAACTTGCATCCCATTGACACACTCATGAATGACATTTGTGTCCCTCGGCTCGCTATCTGCGTCAGTATGCGTGATAACATAACACACCTGCCAATAAAGCATGATGCACACCTGTCTTTTAATGACCGGGAGCTGACCCCAGAGATACAGGTAAACTGCAAATGCAGGAATGTCATTAATCCACACAATACAAATATGACAACAGCTGAATGCTTTCAATGAGGAAGAAGCACTTCCATGGTATGAATATTTCTCATTATTATATAAATCTATACCCACAACCCACGCGCTCCACTCAGCCTTCCCCTGGTTATCGCTGACTAAGACTTAATAAAGGTTCCTATAGAAACTGCTTTGAAACAGCACTGAGATAATGGAACAAAAATATATCTGAACGGAATGTTTTTAGGCAGATTTTATAAACAAACACGTACAGCTACAGCGGTTTAACATTAGTTGTGTTAAATACTGGAAAAATTACAAGGCATTGTGTAATCTCTGGACCTTCTGCTGTTTGACTTCAACTCACATACTACTCAGCCAACCTTTGGCTTAGTGTAATGGGCATTATGGTTCAACAGGAAATGGGAAGTCAAGGCTGAAAGTAGCGTTAGGAACCTGAGAACTAAAGACCGTTTTTTGTTTTTTTTCCAAATTATTTTATTGAACATTTTTCAAAACAATTTCAAACAGAACAAAATTTTGAACAAATATATAACAATAAATACTTAGTAAGCATACCTAAGTAATAAGGGCCCATGGCACTGTGACCTCTTGTGCAAAAGTAAATGGGACAAAATCTGTGAATTTAGTGATAATGACCTGTATATGGGTGCGGCTGCTAAGGTGAAGAGGAGGTAGGCAAAGTTAAAATTACACTCGACTGCCCACAAAATAAAAATCATCACTATTTTGAAGACATGCCCAATGAAAACATTAATGCAATTAATTATGCATATTTTCAATGGGTTATATGAAAAAGTTTGCAAAAGCTGCAGATCTCTTGTCTGCTGCCTTTGCAAGCCCTCCCCTTCTGACCCCACCCAGACTTTCTGCGGCTGTCCAATCACAGACTTCCCAATACAGCTCAATGAAAAATCTTTGCAAGGCAGATGCTTTGAGCAATTACTGCCTATTGAGTTTAGCTCCATTGAGCTAACCAAGCCAGGAAGTAAGAGTGACGGTTCTGATTGACAGCCAGGAGTGTTACAAGGTTTATGTATAAAAGTGCAAAATTTCTATTAAAATCTAAACTTTTTGTAAAATTAGAAAAAGAGGACACACTCTTCACAGATAATGTGCTTTATGAGTCTGGAGTTTTCCTTTAAGCTTCAATCCCACGAGGTGGCCGAATTTAAACACCTTAAGCATGGCCACAGGACCTTTTTGATTTTTAAATAGGCAGCACACTTAGAGTTCACCTGCTACAGTTTTACAGAGAATTTTGTTTCTTCTACCATTAAAAGCTGGGGTTTAGAACTGTGGACACTGACAGGTAGTGGAACTACAACACCCAACATTTTTTGCTATGTGAGATGTTGGTCCAAACAGCAGGTTTAAACTTTTACTGGAAAATAAGTCATTATGCCAAAGGAAACATCCAGAATACACAAACCAGAGTTACCATGGATTCATTCTACAGATTCCTGTTGCAAATTACAACCATGGCGTAGAATTCTCCACTTGAAGTCGCTTTTTCAGATGAGACGCTGGAAACTGGCTTGTTGGTTTTGGCGCTGTATGGAGCAGCTGTGTGCCTAGATCCAAACTGAATCACCAGTTATTAGGTGCTAGAAATGCTGTTTAGTCAGATGCTATCTATATTTAAACCCTTTATCTGTAAAATACTTAACCCCTGAACTCATGTTACAGGGACAAGTTCAGCAGTTGTGCAGAAAACATCCGTCAGTTCACCTATGCAAATAAGCTGGGGCTGCCAGACTCTCCCTCTATTTCTGGACAAACACTACTTGTACTTATTGATAAACAGGACCAGTAAAGTGCCTTCCCGTGGTATATAGAATTAAAATGCTATGTGCAGGATATCAACAGGGATAAGCAAATTTAATGACAATGTAAAGGAGTTCTAAAAAACAGCTGGCTTGAAGAATTTTTACAAATTAGTTATTGTGTGATTTAACTCCTAAATGACGTAGAATTGAGCAGTGAGACTGCAGGGGCAAGATCTACACACCAAAACAGCTTAATTACGCTAAAGTTGTTTTGATTCCTATAGTATTATGTTAAATACTGCTTTATTGCTGACTGCCATTGGCTAATGACAATCATGGCCAACCTGCTAATGAAGGCTGTTTTGAAGCAGTTGTTGGATTTGCCAATGTGATGAGAAATGCATTTCTCAACTACCACGGTGGTAGTTAACCAACACTGGCATATGCGATTCCATGTATAACTTAAAGGGACATCATAGTCACCCAGACCACTTCAGCTCAATGAAGTGGTCTGGGTGCCAGGTCCCTCAGGTTTTAACCCTGCAGATGCAAACATAGTTTCAGACAAACTGCTATGTTTACATTGCAGGGTTAACCCAGCCTCTAGTGGCTGTCTTCCGGACAGCCACTAGAGGCGCATCGGCGATGCTGGAGGCATATTATGCCTCCATCACACAAAGCGTCCATAGGAAAGCATTGAAAAATGCTTTCCTATTGACAGCTTGAATGCGCGCGCGGCACTTGCCGCCCATTCGACTTTGCTGACGTCGGCGGGGTAAGAGAGGTCACCAGCGCCGAGGGAGCCTCGGCGCTGGAAAAGGGTAAGCTGCTGAAGGGGCACTATAGTGTCAGGAAAACCGTGTAGTTTTCCTGACACTATAGTGATACTTTAATTCCATTATTTGATTGATCGTACCTGATGCCCCTGAGTGTATCAAGGATATTGAATGCAGGGAAAAATAAAAAGTAGCCAGTTTGTACAAAGCATCATAATGGATCTGTGAGTCAGCAATGCCTGGAGGGTAGAAAGGAGGCTACATTAGACTTCATGTGTGCCAAAGAATTTCTATTTACAGATCTAATTTATTTTTATTTATTTATTTTTTTGCTCAGGACAAGAGAAGGTTGCAAGAAGATATTGCACAAAGACGACTGACCATTGAAGAAGAGAAATTAAAACTACATCATTTAAAGGTAATTAAGCCAATGATGTGTATACAGTATATACCATTTGGAGTTGACGTGGATTTACCTGTAGGGTGCAGTGATACTAAGTTTCTATTTTCTTAACTGTTAAAGTGTTGTATCCTTGGCATAATGGTAAAGGATTTTAAGTCGAAGTGGAAAAGAAAAATAATTCGGAACATTAACGCAACAAATTGCTAGCAGTTTGGATGGAATGCTAAACATTGTGTCATCTCTATTTATGACAGGTGTACTTCAGCCTACAAGGTGTTTGTCAGCTAGTTAATTTGAATAAAATTCTCCGTTCTCCGTTCCAATTAACCTAGTTACACAAGTGGATTTGGTAGTTCATCAAGTAAAATAAATATTCGTGGAAATGCTTATTCATTTTGAAATTTAAAATGGAAATGTCATAGCCCAGGATTTTTAACATCATGTTCACTTAGCCCTTGTATGTAACAAATATGTGTAGATGAGGTGTGAAAATTAAAATGCAAAGTAGAAAACCACAACTTTTTATCCGTCATATGGGCTCCTCCATCTTGGCAGCCTGTCGTTTATTGTTATTAGTTCCGTCCTTTGCACCTGGAAGTGAGCATAGACAAAGAATACAGAACACAGGAAACTAAACCACGTTTGTTTCTCGCCATGTTTGTCCTGCCTTTAAATTGTCCGAACTACAATCTGATGTCACTTGCTAAATCTCTAAAGTAAAGGTAAAAAATAACAGAGCGTCTCATTAAAATAATAATGCGAGGTGTCAGTGATTTTCAACGTTTTAAACAGATACGTAACGTCTAGAGAAGTGACCGTTCCCCTTTAACTGGCATGTAATACATACAGTGAGTAATCGAACTGAAAATGGTATAGAATACATTTTAAATAAGAAATAGTTAATAGAATAGCTTGGATTAGATGTATATCCGATATAAACTGTCTGTGCACATTGTAATAAAAGCAGCTTTAAAGTCCAGCAAACTGCAAATATGAATTCATACTTATTGTCCAAATTAATGAATAGGAAAATGAATCGGAACATAATTCACCCTTTCGTAGTATACCATTAAACATGACTCACTGCCTGCCGTTCAAGTTATATTGATTCACTCTGACCTTATCACAAGAAATTTATTGTGCAGATTATAATAGAGTAGGTATAGCGTTGGCTGGGTGGGAAGACGTCTAAACAATAAACTGTAGCCCTTTACATAAATGGCAATTTTGATTGTTTTGCATTCATCAGAAGAATATTTGCAAAAAGAGCTGGCTTGGTACATTTTGTTCTACGCTGGACTTGTCATACAGATTGGGCCCAGGAATACTTTATGTGTGCAGTTCTATTCGTAAATAATCTAATTTCAGGTCTGTGAATGATATCGAGAACATGCTGATAAAATGAGGTTAATTTTCAGGTCTGTGCGTGATAAAGAACATGCTGATAAAATGAGGTTAATTTTCAGGTCTGTGCGTGATAGAGAATATGCTGATAAAGTGAGGTTAATTTTCAGGTCTGTGCGTGATAGAGAACATACTGATAAAGTGAGGTTAATTTTCAGGTCTGTACGTGATAGAGAACATGCTGATAAAGTGAGGTTAATTTTCAGGTCTGTGCATGATATCGAGAACATGCTGATAAAGTGAGGTTAATTTTCAGGTGTGTGCGTGATATCGAGAACATGCTGATAAAGTGAGGTTAATTGGATTCTCCAGGCTGGAGTTAACCCATTCCATTTATTATTTTTTTTTTTTTAGTACATTGCATAGATAATGCTTTAAAATTTATATGCAAATATCAATAATTCTATAATAAGACACTCACATGTGATGTAATCCATGACCATGAAGTGACTCAGCCAATCATCATGCTCCCATAACTTTATATGGCAGTGCAGGGTTTAGGTAACCACTACGGCAATTAGCGGATGCTGTGAAACCATGGACTATGCCTTTGCTGCTGCTCAGGAGAGTTAATGGAGGTTCTGTGCAGGAGATTACCTATATATTTATTTATACACACCTTATTTTGAAAATACCAGCGCTCCTAGCTTTATAATTAATGTTGTTCTTTTATTGTTAGAGACATCAATGTTTCAGTTCCTCACCTGAACTTTCATCAGGGCATCTGTCCTGATGGAAGTTCCATTCAGGAACTGAAACGTTGAGGTCTCTAACAATAAAAGAACAACATTAATTATAAAGCCAGGCGTGCTGGTATTTTCTAAATACGGTATTTACAGTGTTACTTGGCACCTGGTTTATTTTCTAACTGGAGGTTGGAGTGCAAGAGTTTGGATTTGAGTGTGTGTGTGTATATGTATGTATGTATGTGTGTGTGTGTATATATATATATATATATATATATATAATCTCTTTCTCAACAGAGTACTGTCAGGTTTCCCAGAAGTGCACAGTTGTTGACTCTTTTTTTGTTTTATTGAGCAGTAAAATCATCGTACAAACACAATTGGCTTGTGACACCTAAACAGTGTCAGTGTGGCTAGCTATCTCTGTATATAAAGAATTCCTCCCTCTCAAGCTCATCTGGAATGCCTCTAATGTGTGGGTTTAATCAGTGAATTTTATTGTTTATAATGTAAATTAAATGTTTATTGTTTGAACAAATAAAAGCTATAATTTTAAACAGCGACTTTTATCCCAAGAGCCACTACCCTCTCTTGGAGGTCAGGTGAGGTTTGCCACAGGCTTTTCCTAGAGGACTGAGAGTCTAGTTGCAGAGTGTGTAAACCTGATGATATTTTCCTTGGCAGCCATGATGCCGCCTCTGAAGACAATGGCCTCCTCTCTCGCCACTGATATGTGACTCTGATCATCTTCAGTAACTCTTTGCTGTCGGAATTAGTAGATGGCATGCATTTGTCCTAATCTGAGGAGATATGATCATGTCTGCCATGCTGCCCCAGGACCTCTCCAAATCCGAGGAGCAGGAATCATGTCGGCTCCATTTTCTTTTGTGCAGGCCGCACTGTTTGCCTCATAAAGCCCCGATATCCTGCTATAGTTTGCATACTGCCTCTGTTTGAGTGAGCGTCTTCCCATAATGTTCACTCACTGTGTAGCAATAACAATAATATTGCTTTAAAAGTAGCTAAATGGTCACAAAATGTCTTCTGTGTGTTATGATGATTTGGGATGCATTTTCCAAACTGTAACAAGGCTAAAGTTCTTCTAAAACTAATTGCGTCTCCCTTTCAAATTACTACACAACCCATTTAGCAGACAATAGGTGGCGACAGTACATATTGCCGAACAATAACCCATTTTAAGTCATGAATTAAAAATGAAGTAATTTGTAAAGGTAATTGTTCAGCTCTGTTTGGCTGAACTCCTAAATTAACACAAATATTTTCCTTTGGCAATGAAGCGTTTGGCAGACCTTAAAGAGAAACTATCACCAACAAGGTATTTAATCATATGAATGTTAAAAGTACACCTTTTGCTGTGTAGAATAACCTGATTTGACAAAATGGGCCAATTCGCATTACATTTTATGTTCATATTGGCTGTTGTATTCTTGAAATAAAGATAGCCAAATGGTACATTGTAAAATACTATTTCAAGCCTGTTTGTACTGATTTACTCAGAGCCATTGATTTTATTATTGTTATACAGCTATATACAAAAAAAAAAATCACAAAATTAAAATATTTTCCCTAATATTAACTCATTTAGAAAGTTTATTCAAAATTATGAAATAATTTGAAAAGCCTTTCCAACAATATTAAATTAAGACACTGGCGTTTCTGCCATATTCATGTGAACTTTGTAAGTATTACCTGGTATTTAGTTAACCCAGACTGCTGAGGGACTTTGAATTTAGGAGAATTATACATCTTTGATTTTCATGCATTTTCAGATTCATTTTCAACTGGCGAGTAAAACGTAGTCCTCTACCTAATATTGTTGGATAACCTTTCCAAATTATTTAATATTTTTAGATAATCGTTTACAATGATTTAACATAATAAAAATATATATTTTTCTTTTTTGTAATATTTTTATATTTTTTTGATATAGTGATATACGATTTATTTTCTGATATTTTAATATTAAATTACTTGGAAAACGTATCCAACAATATTAAATTGAGGCCTTAGTTAGTAGGTCCCGATGTGTAGTGTGACGGGTGCACAGAATACCAGCCTAGTTTACGTCAAATAAGAAGGCAGCACAGAACTGACTTCGTTGGGTTTTGGGGTAGATGGCCAGTATTCGTATCACAGGAGCATGTTCAACCAATGCAAGTGATCAACCAATGATTAGTGCCTGCTTGTTGAAAGGTATACCCAACTTACATAGTTGTACAGGATTTTTTATTTTTATTTTATTGATCTGCGTTTGTTATGTAGTAACACATTACTCTGTTATGGTTTCATGGCACATGCAGATATATCGAATGTAGTCACCACTAAGTTTCATCACAACCCAGGCATTCGCAAAATCGGATTCATGTGCAATCAAGTCCTGTTTGGAATCAGCTGAGCCAGGAACACTGACTGGTGTTATGAAATTATTTTTGGATGAGCTATGCATGCGTTGCTAAATATCAAAGAGTCACAACCTCGAGTTAGAATCCAGTGTTCATGACTGGGCATATCTGCTGTAACTTATATCAAGAGAAACTCATAACTTCATTAAGAAATCATCTTCAGGCCTGAATATCAGCTACACATCTATAGTGTATAGTTGTATGGGGGAAAACAACATCAGCGGCATTCATCGTTGGGATGTTTTGAATTCTGGGCTTCACTCTCAAGAAGATACAAACTGATTTTAGGTACTCTATTGTAATGTATAGAGAAAAGGTTGCAAACAATGATCATTTTTTTTTAATAATCAAACACTCTGTTATTTTTTTAGAAAAAATCTCTGCGGGAAAAATGGCTTTTAGATGGCTTAAGTACAATGTCTCCAGAGGAACAGGAGGAAACATTACGGCAAAGCCAAGCAGACCAAAAGCAGATCAAATCCCTAGAACTCAGTATTGTCAGGTATGTTCTGCCTTATGTGGTATAGCAATGATTCCCAATAGGACTGATAGTTTTGCACATAGTTCTTTCTCCTTCCTTGCACACCCTCAGTGCCACAAATGGTGGTCCCATGGCAGGCAACTCTGTAGACTTAGTGCCCTAGACATTACCTACCTTGGGTTAACATGTTTGAGCAGTGCATTAGCGGAGTTTGCCACTAGAAGAAGATATTATGTTGTTTCCTCCTGCAAAATACATTAAAGGGATACAATAGTCATCAAAACAACTTCCGCTTAATGAATGTATCATGCACCTGCAGTCTCACTGCTCCATTATCTGCCGTTTAGTAGTTAAGTCACTTTGTTTATACATCCCTAGTTACACCTCCCTGCATTTGACTTACACAGGCTTCCTAAACACTTCCTGTAAAGAGTCATCTAATGTATACACTTCCTTTATTGCAAATTCTGTTTCATTTAGAATTTCTCATCCCCTGCTCTGTTAATAGCTTGCTAGACCCTACAGGAGCATCCTGTGTGTAATTATAGTTCTATTTACAGAGCAGGAGATTTAAACTTGTAAAGTAAGCTACATCTGATTGAAAGTGAAACCATTTTGTTATCATGCAGGCTGTGTCAGTCACAGCCAGAAGAGGTGTGGCTAGGACTGAATAAACAGAAACAAAAGTGATTTAACTCCTAAATGGCAGAGAGTTGAGTAGTGAAACTTCAGAGACATGATCTATACACAAAAACTGCTTCATTAAGCTAACGTTGTTGTGGTGACTAAAGTGCCCCTTATTATTATTGAACCAATTCTGACACCCTTCCCTCTTGCTTAGTGGAAAATTAGGACCACAAGTTGTAAAAATTATGCTTATGTTGCATCACTATATACAGGTCACCCATAAAGTGGACTTCTAATTGAAAACTGTTGACGTATTACTCTGTTTATACTAGATGAACATAAATGTTCTCTTCTAATTGAATACTCAATGTGCACAGCTTTCTCATCAGTATTTCTCTCCCCGTGAAAAGCAAAATGCCTTTACACCAGATCCACTCTGATACTTCGCGCACGTAGCATGCTGTGCTACTCTAAAAGGCATTATCATGATACTCAAAACAATACTGCTGAGTTCAAAGTGGGGAACATTACATCACTTTAATAGAGAAGATTGAATCATAGCTAACGAGTGTATGACCGTAATCTGACAGTGTCATCCTACGTCCTCCTTATACTTCATGCCCTATTATAAGAATTGTTCAATCGTTTGAGGCTCTCATGAGTTACTACTTTTACTGTCTTTGAAGAAATCCGACTTTTATAAGAAATGATGAGACATTAAAGCCAAAATACACTAATGATGAGACATTAAATTCCAAATAGAATGATACACTACCAGCATTAGTGTGCTACCATAAAAAAAACAAAAAAAACACCAACACTTCTTAGGAAGACCCAATTACTTAGGACGATGCATTAACGGCTAATTACGTGTTAAGTAGCTTTCTAAGCTTGCTTCTATTTATCTGATTAGAATGATCTATCATTACTCTTAAAGCAGCTCTGTCACTTTGATGGTTTTGCTTTTAAATGTAATCCTCTTCGTCTGTCTATTTCTCCTTGGTTTTATTTTATTTCATTTTTGTAATTATCCTTAGATATTTTTTTGTAAGTTACTTTTTCTTATGTGAAGCATGATCTTTGGCATTTTTGGGGGGAACTGGATGGAGCTTAATCAAAGTTACACATTCCAGTTGCTAAACTAATTTACCCACAATCCATCAGTCAAAAGAATCCCACAGAAAGGCACATGGCAAACTTTATTGGCAGAGAATAAAATGGCAGCACCCTGGTATTGAGATCCAGCATGTAATAAATGTGTATATGTTAGGGAGATTGGAATAAGTCTCTTTTTTAAATTTATATATATCGTCTAGGAAAAATAGGTAATGTAATATTCTTTAAAGCACATGGAAGAAGTATAAAATAAGGGACGGGGTAATGGGGGGAGTGTAATCATTAAGATACAATCCCTTACATAAGTAAAGGAAAACTGAAAGAAAAACAAATGACTGTTTATAGCATTAAGAATACAACATGTTATCTTCCCACTAGAGTGTTACCATACCTATTTTGATTGATTCCCCTCCCAAACTAATAAAAAAGGTTTTACTTACCTTTACTCCACATGCGCCGGTCAATAAGTGGATGCTTCGCCTCCATTACCTGAGATAACAAGGAAACTATTCCTAGCTATGCAGTATCCTAGTAAAGAGGTAACAGTTTTTTGTCCCTGTACTTGCACAATTTTGCCTCTTTTATTTATAAAGTGCCAACAAAGTCGGACAAGACGAGTTGGACGCGCAGAAAAAAAGGGGTGTTGAGGGCCCTGCTCAACGAGCTTACATGCTAGAGGGAGTGGGGTATAGTGGCACAAAAGGTAAGGGTAGGATGTAGTTTGTGTTCAGGAAAAAGTTTACAGTGAAGGGTTAGTTTACTGTCAGCTGCTGTTAAATGCAATGTTAATTTACATGGGAATTATTTACTTGCTCCTTCTCTGTATCATAGCAATAATTACCTTGATTACATGAAGATATGAGAACAGTCATTAAGTCTTTGTTGTGTTTGCAGACTGTCACACCTAAGTTATACACCATACTTCATGGTGAAAAATAAACCTGTTTAGATCAGAGCTAACGCTTTAATTTAATAGATCATGCAGCAAATATGTTTATTGCCCATTTGCTACCTGCAGAATCATAAGCCCTTTCAGTGTCAGAGGCTATAAAACACAGACCGCAAAAGACTGAATACAATGCACAGTTTGGCATAAGAGGTCCTGTGGCAGCAATACTTTAAAAAAAAAAAAAAATTTCTCTTGGTCCCTTGATTTGGTGACATGAGAATCATACAGTCTGTGTTGACACTTGCTTTCTGCTGACATTTAATTTAGGATTTAATGAAAGTTAAATGGGATGATGGCACCATTCCCTTTTTTGTTCATATCTTATCCTAATTGTCTGTTTGATAAAGTTCAATTCGTTTCCACTTGGTTTAATCTGCTTTTGGTGGTTCTTTTGCAATATTTGATATTTGCATTTACTAATTAATTGGACAAATATATCATGATTAATCCAGTGACATTTATATATAACCTTCACAATACTGTCAATAATGTCGCTATACCAGTGTGAAATTTCCTTTTAATTTTTTTTTTTATATTCTGGCTAATATTGTATATTAATACAATTTCCCACAATTTATTCATTCTGTCCATTAAATTCCTAAAATTATTTTCTAGCTGCACAAATTATATAACTAAAGTAAAACAAAAACACAAATGGACACATCTTGCCATTTTAGAATCCACAGGGATATGAATTCCATATTTATTATTATTTTATTATTTACATAGTGCCAGCAAATTCCGTAGCGCAGTACAATGGGTGGACTAACAGACACTAAATTGTAACCAGACAAGTCGGACACACAGGAACAGAGGAGTTGAGACTCATGGAATATTTGTCTTTGGATACAATGCAATCCTCCATGGTTTCAACAGACCTTTAACAACCGTGCATATAATATAAATAAAAGAAATCGCGATCTGTTCTTACTGGTAAAACATTTTATATATGAATAAGAAATAAATCTGTTTATTGTTTGAGGCGATGTGAGAAGCGAGTGAGCCTTAGAGGAATATTATTGTTTATGTAGAACATGAAAGCAGAATTATGGTTTTTCGCTTATGAAACACATTACGTTATGAGAGCACAAGTTTTGTCTGGTCCTGTTGGCAAAATATAATCCTTGAGCTTTCAAAGGTAGCATTGTTTTCCCAGAATGCATCCCCACCACAAAAGTTTACTTCAGTATTTTCCAAGATGGCTCAGTGAGTGATGATTGCATGGGAATAAACAATTCATCCTTAAATAACTGAATTTGTAAATTTTGTTCGAGATTAGAATTCTGCAAAATATCCTTTTAACCCCTTAAGGACCAAACTTCTGGGAATAAAAGGGAAACATGACATGTCACAAATGTCATGTGTCCTTAAGGAGTTAAAGAGTGAAGCCCACATTTTAACGTGATATGAATTTATTTAAAGGAACACTTTATAAAAAACACTAACATTTTAGTAGATGATGTAAACCCAAAGAAAATATGCATGTTATTTATTTTGTATGTTTTTTTAATAAAAAATGGTATATGAAATCTCGGCTTGCAATAGCTATGTATCTAGTATCTGCAGCTATTGCAAGCTCTCCCCTTCTGCCCCAGTATGGACGGTCTATGACTGGCCAATCACAAACTTGCTGAGCCAAACTACCAAAAAGCAACAGCACTGATGGTCTGATGCAATAGAAATTGGCACTTTTAGAAAATGACACACTTTCGCACATAAAGCACTAAAGCAATTTGGACATTCTGTCCCATGTCTCCCATCACAGTGCAAGCTTATTGCAAAGTTAGGTCTGTAGACTTAAATATACTGATGTACATAAATTGTACATATAATAAACTTGCACAATAAATGGAGTCTGTACTTTGTATAAATGGTTTCTGCTGTGTTTATATGTTGTAATAAAGCCCATGAACAAACTAACCAGAAGGAGGGGGTGCTGCCAAGTGAAACATATATTCAATGGCAAACAGTCCTTATTTATTCAGTACCAAGGTAATTACAGATCCCACTGGTCTCATCTCCAGAAGTGGAAGGAATGTAGGATTAAAAATAAAACTCCTGTGTAGTATAAAATAGCCATGAATGCAATTATCCAGTAATGCATAGTGGAACATATGCTGTTCGCTAGAACCTTGGCATAATGATGGAATTCTATAATGTTCTAATTGTAGACTTGAACAAGAAATTGGAGATCTTGAAAAGGAGGAATCCCAGCTGTCTGCAAAAGAGGTGCGGGTTCTGCAGAGATTGAAATCCGTGGAACGTACAACAGAAGACATTATAAAGGTGAGTTCTATTAAAGGGAACATGCAGCCATTTCAGTGATGGGTCCTGTCCCACCCACTCACTCATAAATGGGTATAGTAATTTAATATATATGGTTCTCCTATACAGGCTGCGTGATGACTCAGTGGGTTAATGCATAGAAGAATATAATCACAGATTGCAGGTTTCGTTTCCACAATGACATTTGTTTTCTACGGTTGAATGAAATGTGTACCAATAAGTTGGGTAATAACAGAAAGGCAAGTTTGAAAACAAGAAAAAAATCTTAATCTAGATAAAACCTTTTCCATGAACAGAGGAATCTGGATTTGTTTATTAATAAAGGCAACATTGTCCGAGAGGAAACAAAAGAATCATAGATGTCTTTGTTGGTGTTTTGCTCTAGAATTCTATATTGCTAATATAAAATTATATATCTGAAAATATATAATTAAAGTCATTTAAATTAAACAGTATGGATTTACACTAAATTATATTCAAGAGATAAAAACAGGAACAATATATTGTAATGATTCGCTATGAATGCATTATTGTATTATGACTATAGTGCTTACTATAGCACTTATCATAGCCATCCAAGTTGGTTGAATTTAAATGGATAAAGCGACGGTTATACTTCTGCATTATCACGTGTGTGACTCTGAGGCCAACTTGGCTGTCAGAAGAGCTCCTGTTTTTGTCATACTGATCAATACCTCTTGATAGTTTGGGCCAAAGGAGGGGCCCAAACTATCACAGATGTAATTTTCACTATTATAAATTAAAAGTTAATTTGTAGGATTACAAAGTCACAAGAATGAGCACATTTTTTTTACAGTTTTGGTACTTAAAGCATTGGAAAGCACCAAGGAGGTTATTAAAAAAGTAGAGTGCCAGTCCGTTGCTATTTTGGGGATATATGTATGGGTGTGTTATATTGTTGCTTGTTTAGTTCCAGAAATGGTTACATTGCATTTAAGCATTATTTAAACCATACTTACTAACATGAACTATTTTGCGTTTCTGTTTTAACAGGCGGTGAAAGCAGAGGCGAGAGAAGGTACAGTAATTCCTTCATTATCAGATACAAAACATGTTTAGCATCTCTCAATAGATTTATATAAATTAAGTAATCTATGTGTTTATGCGCTAAAAACCTCTAGACAAACAGAAGGAGATATAAAGGAATCTAAGTGAGATGAGACGAGTAATTGATAGATTAGACAAGTAATACAAGATAAACCCTAATTCGAATGCTTTTCCCCCCCAGAACCAGTAACACCAGTACAGGATATTTATGCCGGTATACCTGACCTGCCAGTATCGTATAAACCCCAATTTGTCAAGAGTTTGGAAAAAACACAAAAAGAGAATGGAGAGGAGCCAAGAAAAGGTATAATAGTTTCATCATTTGAAATGCTTCACGAAGATATTGGCTATGGTGATTTATAATAGCCATTATCGGGAATTGCTCTACGGAATATGTGTGGAATCTGTAATCTTGCATTATGATTTTGTCACCCAGCCTTAGGCTGACTAAAAACCCAATTCTTGGAGGTGAGGTCCTGCAGTAGCTGTCTGATCTTTAGGTCAGGAGGATGGCTGTCCAATCTTTGGGTCAGTAGACTGGATGTGTGCATGTAATTGGTCAGCTTCATGTAGTACGTAGTTCACATTTAGACCAAAATAATATTTATTTCCACGTTTCCTTAAGATGGTTACTGCAGTGTAGGATAATTCTTTTTAAATTGCCAACTATGACCTCACTCAGTGATGGCTCACCTTACCTTGGCATTGCAGATGATTGAACTGCATTTTCCATGATATTTTGCCAATCCTTCGTACAAGTCACATCTTTGTGTTTTTGTTTTTTTGGGGAGGTCCAAGACTCAAAACTGTCACCAGGGTAACGTGCCATTCCTGAGCCATGTCTACGGCCCTTTACAGCTGAAGGACAATCTACCCTGGCTCCTTTTCATTAAATCAATATAGGTTCCCAATGATGGGTTTAAAACTTGATTTAAAGGGACACTATAGAAATCAGAACTTTTACAACTTAATGTAGCTGTTCTGGTGTCTACAGCATGTCCCTGCGGGCATTTTAATCTGCTCGGCCAAGGAGGCTGACCCACTCAACGCTGGAATAAAGGTACAATTTTAACATGGGTGGGAACGCCCACCTGAAAAGAGTTTTTAACACTGTTTACATGTTGTGACTCTGCAGTGTTGCTTTAATCTTGTTTCTTCTGTTTTTTTCTTTAAATCTTTCTTTAAATAAAATATAGCATGGTTTACAAACTTTGTTTAGTTGGTGGCAGCATGGCGAATATTTTGTGATAATGGTAGGATTTAAAAAAATATATATATATTTTCCTTTTGGACATTTTGGTATTTTATTTTTTATTTTTTAAGTAGCAACAATACAATCTGTCATATTGTCAATCTAAGTTTGGGCTCGGTACCAGACAAGAAAGATTTTTTTAAATTTATTTTTGACTTTATTTTTTTCTTATGACGTAGCTACTCAGAGTAAATGCCAGAAGAAACTGTATTGGCTACATTGTTATGATGCAATTGGTCACTGCACCACATACATAATATTCCATTACTTGAAAGGCATTAGTTATGCAAGTGATATCCTACTCAAGTGAATTATATTAGTGTAGTCAAGATTGACTTGTTGCTTTTCGCCCGTCGTTGTATGGAGGAAAAATAAAATGAATTGAGTGTCAGTAATCTGTACTCCCAGTTGTAAATGGATGGATAAAATATTGCAATTCTCTTTCACATGATTTCATCCTGAACCACCTCACTAATTTTCAATGTTGAAACATTTTCAAGAAACATTTTTTTGTTCATCTCAATTCATCTAAATGGAAATAATTCTCAGTCGCTAATTTACACGCATTGTTTAACACCACTCTTGCATACCATGAAATGTTATGCTTTAGTACATTCTCATAAACCAAAACGTTTATAATCACATCTAATCTATACCATGAGGTTAAGATTCAGTGCTATGTGATGACTGCCTACTTATCTGCATCAATTTTTATTGAAGCTCCCCCCCAAATCCACATTTAAATTCTAAAACATTGCACAGAGTACATCCAAAAAGAACAGGGGCTAGTGACTGATCTTCATCTTTTCCAACTCCAACTCGTATCAAAAATCAGCCAGGAATGCTACAATAAATATGATTAGAATGATATCTTCTTCCTAGCATCAGACTTCCAGATTACATGTGTGCAGTCATATTAGGCCCTTACACTAGAAAACTAGGTTAAAAATATATATTTCTAAAATATCCAATGGGAAACAGGTTTAATTTTTTTGCCTTTTATTGCTTAATTATAAATCTCATAATACTTTGTCACCCTAAGATTTTTTTAATATTATCTACAATTGATAGAGGCTTGATCCCTGTGTTTTTAAATGCTTTTTGGACTATCTATTTATTCTACAATCTACGTGGCCACACGTTATGGACTAATTAAAATGAGCAGAAAGTAAACGTTTTACCAATGCCTGTTATTAACAAACCTTTCTTTTTTTGAATAGCTTTGTTTGCCATGGAAATCAAAGTTGAAAAAGACATGAAGACTGGAAAAAACAAGGTGTTATCGAGTATACCGGTTCCTTCCAGTGAGTTTAAAGATGAAGGAGTGAAAGTTTATGATGATGGCAGGAAGTCTGTATTTGCAGTGAGTGCTAAAGGTGTGGTCAAGAACGGAGTAGACAATCTTGCTCCTATAGAAGTAGAAGATCTTCTAAGGAAAGCTACAGAAAAAAGCTCGCAGTCCCCCACGGAGTACCATGAACCTGTATTTTCTAACCCCTTCAACAATTCTAGCGTTCAAAAAGGACAGATATCCCCCAAAATAAATGGCCACAATTCATCTCCCGTAGTAATTCCAGAACACAGTTCTATCCCGAATGGAAGACTAAGCTCAGAATCAATATCCTATCCTAACATATCAAATGCAATGTCTTTGGTTAAAGAAGCAGAGCCAAAAGAACCAATATTTTCACCTAGTCAAACAGGTGCTTTCACCCAGAGCAATCACATTTCTAAAGAATATCCTGAACATCAGCTAAAACCAGAGGAAGGCCTCCAAGGGCCAAACGTTATGAACTCTGCATCATATCCACAAGTGGACTCTTCAAGTTTAGGTATGGAAGGTGACATGCACTACAATGTTGTTCATACCCAGCCTTGCTATCTTGACGATTCAGAACCAGTCACCATGATTTTCATGGGATATAAAAATGCAGATGAGGTTCAGAGCAAACCAATGACAGATTATGAGGGCATCATCCGTGCTGAACTGGTTGTAATTGATGATGATGAAGATGTAGGTGATGGTCTCCATGCAGGACAGAGATCTGTAAAAGAACAATATTTTCCTCCAGTTGGTCAACAGCCAAATGATGTCATACAGAAACTACCCAAGCACGAAGTAACTTTGAATAGCCATCTACCCTACAAGAATTCAATATCTTTACTAGAACAAGAAGCAAGCTTAGGACAAAATAACTACGCCCTACCAGCCAGAACAACGATAGATGATGGTACCGAGGATCCGTCGTTAACAGGTAAGGATCGCTCAAGAAATGTCAGTGTTGTTTTCTAATATGACGCACTGTATTCATTAAAATAATATTGGCAGTGATAATATGTTTGATTAGGTTTGAAACTTTCACAATAGCAGCAGTACCCATAGGGTAAGGTGTGGTTTCTCAGACTTCAAAGAGTGCTACTGTGACCAATATACACTTTAGAAAATGGGAACAGTGTGTCATCAAATCCATGGAAAAATAAGGGCATCTTCCCCAAGCTTTATTACTCTGAAAATATACAGTACCTCATCATTTTTTGACTGTAATACGGGGATTAACGCATAACAATTGCGGTCAAAACGTGAGACTGACTTTTTTAAATTTATTTATTTATTTTTTAGTAGTGCTATAGAAAAATAAAATTAGATTCTAGTTCATATGGCTTTTATATAATATGAAATATAACATATGTAATGTATGATCCTATCTGATTGCTATAAATTTATCCAAATGCCTTTCAATAAACAAGTACACATTTAGGGTTATTCAATAAAATTAGAATTTCAGGTATTCAAAATACATTTCAAAATATAGGTCAGAATAGCCGATTTGGAAAAATTCTCCTCCAAGTTGGCTGTGTTTTCAGGTTTTATACTATGGCCTAGTGTAATTCACTTGAAGTCTATTCAGTCCACTCTGAATTCTAAGGGAGCAAAAATGGCAGAAATGTTGGTTTATTGAGTTCCTGAGTTCACACTTTAGTGAATAATTCTGAAAGAGATCTCCGGCTCTTATTATTATTTATAGAGCGCCAACAAATTCTGTAGCGCTGCACAATTGGTAGACTAAAAGACTTCTATTTGCAACAAGACGAGCTGGACGCACAGGTACATAAGGTGTTGAGGACCCTGTTCAAACAAGCTTACATTCTAGAGTTTGGGGAATATAAGGATTTAGTAAGTCTCCTTTTTGCTAATTAGGATTAGACCGGAATGGTAATTATAAATCTATACCGCCCAGTGTCTCTATATACGATTTTACCTGGCTATATGTACATGGTATATACACCAAATTAACCATTTTATCCTTGTAGCAGATAGAGGGAACATCTGGACAGCATCCAGAGCAGTGTGTTTGAGATTTAGTATGAGCAGAGGAGCTTATAATGCTTTATAAAGGAGAGTTCAATCAAGATTGGTTTAACCATATAGTGTTCTGCATAGTTCACTAGCCATGTTATTATATATGAATTCTAATCCTTTATCTGCTTAATTTTTTCCCGTCTCTGTTGTTTGCTCTCTTCTCCCATTGTAACTCAAACTCAAAATGAATGACAGGATGGCAAATTTTCATCACAGGGGCAAACGGTGCCCAGGAACGTTTATTGACCGGCACTTTGAATAAATCTGGATAGCTGCTAGATAAGAAATGAAATGGTTACCCCAACCAAAAAATAGTGTAGGAAAGGAAAGGGAAAATGTCATGTAAAAAGGATATGGGAAAAGAAAAAGTAACATACCATACGATTCAACATCGAGGCCATGTACTTCCCCCGGTCACTCCCCTTCAATGAAGGAGTGATGTTCCAAAACACAGGTGGAGGGGAGTGACGTGTTGCCGTTGGTTGCCTGTCACCAGCATGCATTGCATGGAATTAACATTAGTCAGCCCAGAATGAGAGTTAATGATGCTGCTGGGAGTGGAATTGCATTCAGCTGGCATGGTGCATTTTCTCTGTATGTCCAGTGTTTCATAATGAAATGCTACACATGCAGACTCCAAGCACCATGACTGTGGCGGACCACTCGTTAAGGGACCCGAATGTACTGCCAAGGCTCTCCTTCCACCTTCAAAGTATCCCATTCAGCGCAATGACCAGTATTTATAGCAAGCAGTATAGCCGTAGTGTATAGCACCACCCCTCCCCCCCATACATTAGTCGAGACTTAATGCTTGGAGAACTGATTTTATTGTCACCAACACGGTCGTTTATACACGGACCACCAGCATTGGTTCCTTATTCAACAACATAATGATCCTACTTTGTGGCCTCCGTGTTCTGGGATATATTGTGTGATCTCTTGCTAAATTATCTCCCAGACACAGAGGGTACAACATAGAATGTCCCCAAAAACATAGTAGAAACCCCACAGGAACCCCCACATATTATACATCCCCAGATAGCTCTGATCCGAGTGTCCAAGGTGGCAAAATAGCTCTCAGATTCATGAAAAATTGGAGATTTGACCGGCCGCTAGCAATGTTCATGCCCAAAAGAGTTCCATGACGAATGGGGCTTTGGCCAGTCAAATATCGGGCGCTCCTGTGAGTTGAAAAGGAGGTGCTCCCCCTAGCTCTCCGGAAACTATTGTTCTTCTTATCCTCTTATGCTTACCCTCCAAAGAACACTCTACTGGCTGGTTAGGAAGTGTGGTAAAACTGGGTTGGAAGTTGGCCCAGGTAGAGGCACTGGTTGCAGTTGGGCCACTGTTTCATAAGAATTGCGTTTTAATCTCGTTATAGTCTTTGCCCCTTAGGCAGCCCTGTAGAGATGCGCTCTAGTTTTTTTGAGTAGGGGCAGGTGGTGAGAGCCAAGGCTTTGGGAGAAGGTCTCTGAGAAGAGAACATGGGGGTTTATGCATATGGGCCACAGTGATTGAGCCCTTTTGGGGAGTGAGTTGCGTGGTTGTTGCCTGGTGTGGGTATGAGTGACTGGGTGTTCCATTATAATGATCACTTTAAATAATTGAAATGGTCATGGTGGTTGAAGTAACATTTTAAAAGTTGAGAATAAGTGGAATGGTTAGATACAGGAGAAAAGTGTGGGATTGTTTTAGAATGGTGAGATTATCCTTCTACTGAAGGATGGAAGAAGAAGACAGACGACATGATGAATATAGAGTGCAGGGTAATATTCCGCTTCTCTTAGAAAGCAGATTATAACATACAATATAGGAGAGGACGGAAGAGGTTTTGACAGGGTTCGATAAACCGTGAATGCCAATAAACATACAGAGTTTACTAAATAAATCATATAAGGGTAAACCGTCCTGTGGTTAAACAGTGACATCAATGTGAGTATAGTGTATCTCAAACACTTAAAAATAGTTGTATGTTCTACTTCGAAAATAGATACTACCAAGAAGAGGCCTCTTGCTGCTATTTTTCGAATGACTAATCCCTAAATAGCGCTGTCCATCTCCATTGATTGAATCAACCAGATCATTGGCTATTTCTGAAGTGTAAAACTCCATTAACTTTAGAAATAGATTGTTATACAATATGGAGTCTAGATGGGTAATATGTAACAATAGGGAAGGAAGACATTTGTGCATTTTAAACAAGATTCTTTCTGAAGCAAAAATGTAAAACAGGAGTATGGTGTAGCATATGAGCAAAAATGTAAACAAATTAACCTAGTGCGGCTCTGCTGTAGCCCCAATAGCAAGCAGAGTACAGTAATCCAAAGTATTCGACCACAAAGCTTAGCTCCGCTATAGGGGCCCATTAGTGCAGCCCATGATTCTCTCGGATTGCTGTGAATAATCCTAACACTCAAATGGTGTTACATGGTTGGTCGGTGAGATAATTACAGGGCCTAACCCAACAACCATCAATTTAAATATTGAACAAGGAGAGGTAAATGACACATACATGTTCACCCCTCAAAGGAAGGATATTTACCTTCAACCCTTTCTCTTGATGTAAATTTAGGCCTGCTCCTCTTAGAACCATTGGTATACAACATTGGTATACATATCCCTGCCACCTGAACCCTCTATCCTTGTATGTAAGGCTTTGTGTCTAACTTGTATCCAAAACTAGAGCAATCTCAGAATCCATCACCAGTGCATTTAGTTTGTATCCATCTCATCCACTTGACATACAGCCAAACTTCCGAGTTTCTTAGTATGGTGATCTGTATAATGAGACCGTGGGTTACAGATACAGCTTGATACAAATCTTGTAGATACATTTTTTTTTTAACATATAACCCATCAAGTGTTCCCAGTTTCCCAGCCTTTTTTGTTTATCTCCTTCTCTCCAGCAAGCAGCTAAATTTTGGTCTCTACAAATTTAACGAACAGCTGCTTTGTCATACGTATTTAGCTCACCGCGACTACACAGCTTGTATGGAAGGTGTACCAGCTTAGGGATGGCTTTGGTATATATACATACATATATATATTAATTTATTTATTTTATCACGTTCTTGGTTAACACACAATATTTATCATTAGATGTACTATATCTACACAATAGTGTGTTTTTAATTAACTAAGAAAGGAAATCTTCTTTCTGTATGGAGAGCAAAAAACAGGTCGCAAGAGTATTCTGAGAACGGACAGCAGCTGAAATAGCCTTCCCTTCGGTGTGTCCCCGTTCAGAACTCAAGCTGGTTTTAGCTCATCTTGTGCCATTACAGAGAGAACATATCTGAAGCATATCAGACTGGTCCCACCCATATGGGCAGTCCAGATCCAAAATGCCAGCAAGTTCTCTCTCCACGAGAGATACAGCAACCCCAGACAATCGTTTCAGCCTTGTTAGGCATCATCAGTGAGGCATTGCTGATATCGTCTGGGGTTGCTGGATCTATCGTGGAGAGAGAACTTGCTGGCATTTTGGATCTGGACTGCCCGTATGGGTGGGACCAGTCTCCTATGCTTCAGATATGTTCTCTCTGTAATGGCACAAGATGAGCTAAAACCAGCTTGCGTTCTGAGCGGGGACCCACCGAAGGGCACGCTATTTCAGCTGCTGTCCATTCTCAGAATACTCTTGCGACCCGTTTTTTGCTCTTCTTTCTGTATGGTTTACCTCCCTTTGTTCAATTTTTAATTTATTCACTGCAGTGAAATTAAAATACGAGACCGCTATAGCTAAACCATGAATATAGCTAGCTGACTTAGAGAATTCGTCCAGTTCAGCTATTGTGGACGAAACATTGAACTTTGTTTAAATTATGAAAAATTCAGTTTTGTGAAAAACTTTGTATTTGTCTACAAATGTCTGCTCTTGCTCCTGGAAATAACATTTTGATACATGTCGTTTTACAATTTCCCCACCCAACGTGTCCTCCCCTATGATGAGACCAAAAGCCATTAGTAATAATTTAGATGCTCTTCTCTTTTCATCTCTCCACAGCATTGAGAATTCGAATGGCAAAACTCGGGAAGAAAGTCATATAGAAGTGTCACTTCTCTAAAGGACGAAAACCTTAAAAGTATGGCCAAAGTGAATTATGTGTACTTCTAATTACCAAGGATCTTTCTATGTTTTGTATCGCTTTGTGGATAATATTGGTGTTCAGGTGATTGTTGCCTTTTTACTTTAATATATCAGACACACACGCTGTGCCCTTCCCTCCGCAGTCATTTTAGCTATTTAATATGATTTAATATGTAACAAACTTAGAAAGTGTTCCTACATGTCTGTAATATTTGTTGCCATTTTTATATGATCGCTATTATATCTGAAAGCTTGTCCGACAAGATCTCACTTGCCTATACAGTTTGGGTTCTTTACAATGATATAACTGTGTATTTTAAAAGCGAATATTTACCGTGTAATTGTATTGCTTAGAATTTATATCATGTATCTATATGAATGGTAAAAAAAAAAATTTACATTATTTATTATTGTCGCGCATTAACATTCACTGCCTTTAGTAATTATCTGACAAAAGTAGGTGCTGTCTCCTACAAACTATTTTCTATCTAGTTTCATATACAGACCAATGTTTTTTGCGTTTTAATGAATTTAACCCTTAGCTTTACATTTATAAATGACAATTAAGGACAACCCGTAAACAATTGCTATGGAGCTATGGACTACAACCCCCATCAGGTTATCATGATGTGAGTTAAATCCTGTGGATATTTAAATTAGATTAGGGGTTTAGGTGATGTGAAAGTTCACGCGAAAATATATTCCAAAACAACTAAGATGGCAAAAAACCAAAAACAAACAAAACCTCTGCTGAGACTTTTTCTGTCTTTGTCAATTTATTAGCAGTTTAAAAGGCATCCTAACCAATGTGTTGAAAGCAACCTTTCATTCTATAACTTTTCAACATGAGAAACAAGAGAGATTATTAACTAAACTCCAAATTGTAACACATTGGCACATTGAAATCTGGAATTAGAGGGCTACTCAAAGCCTATTGACCAGTATATTGAATTAAAGTGGTTATGGTGCATGGAGTTTGTGTGCGGTGTTTCATATATAATGCTGCATATACAGTGATAATGAACATTGCTGATCGAGATGTAAGCCCACATCCAGTGTCAATACTGCTAATAAATCTGTGTATTACATTGCTATGCTTGCTGATGATGGATGACCAATGGTGTCATAGGCACCCTCCATCCCATGCAGCTCTCAGTCCTCCCCCTGCAGTAAAGGAAAGTGATCCGGCTGCAGGGAGAACTTGGCCTTGGTACCGGACCTATGGTTAGCAATTTTTTTTTTTTTTAACGTTTTTGGACCATGTTATCAGGGCTTACACCAACCAAAAAAGTGTTATAAATACACCGTGTTTGATTGCTGTAACCCTTTAAGGCGTAAATATCTGACCTACAAATATTTGTATAATCGAAGCTTGACTATATTAACTTTGCTTTCTCCATTTGAATTTCACTGTTTGGTGAACAACCCTGAACGTGTTAAGAATTACATTCTATCACTTCCAATATATCGGCCTGAGTAAATGAGAGATAATGTACGATTATACTATACTGCTTGTTGCTTGCATATTTTTGCAACAAAACTGTCTTTCTGAGGGGGGGGGGGAATAAAAAGTACTTAACTGTGCAAGAGTAACGTTTGCATTTGCCTGTGAGCATAACCTTTTGTACTCTTAATATGTTTTATAAAAATATTGCATTCATAAACACAATGGAAAATAATGTACTATTTACTTTTGCTTGTGTTTTAGTGCCAGTGAGCGATTTTAATTTTTTTTTTTTATTTCTGTATTTCAAGAATGTTTCATATAGTCTGAATCGTGGTGCACAAAAGGTAGATCCCAGATGTTTTAAAACTACAGCTTCCATGATGCGTTGTCATTCCAAATGCATTCTAAAGGCATGCAAAGCACCATGGGAGTTTTAGTTCTACAACATATGGAGCACTACCTTTTTGGCATTCCTGGTCTAAACAATAGGGTATATTATTTAACACCCCTTATTTGACAACCAAAGAATGCATGCTTTGCAGCATTTGCTCTCTGTGAAATAACTAGTTACCAGGGGCCAAATAATATTTGAAACCGTAGCTCTCTCAGAACAGACCTACAGAACAGTAATGGCTGGCCTCTGATGTTATTTGTAGTGTATTGTATTCTAGATTACATTCTCCATGATGAAGAGCCAATCAAATGGCTCCACGCTCCTTACTGTGCCAAAGATTGCCTGTCAGTGGTATAGAACCCGGTTTTAAATTTGCAAGCTCTATGCCTGTCCACAGTGGTGTATCCTGGTTTTGGGCTGCCCTAGGCAGGACAAAACTCAGGCGCCCCCCAATCCCCCCTGCGCGCGCGCCCCCCACCCATCCCTTCCCCGCGCGCGCGACCCCCACCCATCCCTTCCCCGCGCGCGCGACCCCCACCCATCCCTTCCCGCCCGCCTTCTAAATACACACACTCACTGACAGATATGCATACACTAGCTAACAGAAACACAAACTCACTGACACACACACTCAGACACACACTCACAGACACACTAACAGACACACACTAACAGACAGACACACACACTCACTCACTAACAGACACACACACTCACTTGTGTGTGTGTCTGTTAGTGAGTGTGTGTGTCTGTTAAACAGACACACACTCACTAACACATGTACTTTTTAAACCTCCCCCCCTCCAGCCCCCTTACCTTTGGGAGTGCTGGGGAGGGAAGGGGTTCTCTTTCTCCCTGGTGGTCCAGTGGCTGCTGGGTGGGCGGCATTGGCGGGCGGGCGGGCGGCTGGCGAGGGAGCTCTTCCTGTGAGCTGTCTGCTCAGCTCCCTCGCGCGCTGCAGAGTGAGGCTGGGAGCCGGAATATGACGTCATCAACCTGGCTCCCAGCCTCACTCTGCGGCGCGCGAGGGAGCTGAGCAGTCAGATCACAGGAAGAGCTCCCTCGCCAGCCGCCCGCCCGCCAATGCTGCCCAGCGCCGCCCAGTGCCCAGCATGTCCACGCCGCCAATGCTGCCCAGCGCCGCCCCCTGAAAAATGCCGCCCAAGGCAAATGCCTTGTTTGCCTCGCGGCTAAAACGCCCCTGCCTGTCCACACCACTTAATGTATAGAAATTTAATAAAATAACACTCCCAAAGATTTCAGAATTTTTTTTTAACTCCCCGCCAATTAAAGGGAAAATTAAAATATGAATTACAGTAAATAATTTTCATATTTTAATATTTATGAATGAGGGCGTTAAAAGAACACATTTTAAAAGAAAACAGTTTTATGCAGTTAAAGGGACACTATAGTGTCAGAAATACAAACATGTATTCCTAACACTAGTGTTTATTTAGGTTCCCAACCGCTCTGATCCATAGGAAAGGTGTTTTTACTTACATTGTTTTCCCTTGCCACAGCGGGCCCCGTCTCCATGACTGAGATCATGAATCTTGATGATCTCAG